TACCTTCTTCCTGCAACACTTAGGAGAAAAGACCCTACATTTGAGGCTGCAAACATGATTAGAAAACACAGAAATGTTCCTTGTCCATTGTTACTTAAGCATGTTATTACTTCCATTGCCTTAATGGATCCTTAGTTCAAGTTCATAAAAACCTTAAGTAAATGTCTGACAATAGATATGAATGATTTAGAGCAACATGTTGTTAGACACCTGATCAATAACCAGGTTGGAACCACCTTGAGTGGCTCTGGGGCTGGAGTGTTACACCTGTACACATATTTTACATGTACCTTATTATTGTTACTACTGCAGAGAGTAATAATGTAACATATTATTACTACCATAAACCATCCACCATAAACCAAGGCTAGGCTTCGCGAACGAAGATTTGAGAAGGGCTCTACCCACGCTTGCTACAAGCACGCTGATGGCTAAAAAGGCCAATGCGAGATAGACAAGTCCGATTGCAGAAGGCACAGCAGAAAGACTCCCCAGGTGATACAGACGAGACGCGATTCTTTCTGCGTTGTCTTTTCTCCTCGAGAGTGATCCTGTGTGTGTTCTCAAAAGCAGCTGCACCACAGATCATATTAAAAACGCAAAGATGCTTGAAAAGTATCTTGCTTCAGAATCTTCATTGGTATCTAAATGTTGCAAAAGGAACATCACAAGCAACATTTAGGTAAAGAGTTACTCTGCACACCTCAGAAGTGAAGGGCTAGCAGGATGTGTTGTCTGGTACGGTATGGGCAGATACAGGCACAGGCAACTGCCATATGTGATATAGGGAAGAACGATGAAGGAGACTATTCCCACTCTCACAGAGTAACCGTGGTTCCTAACATCCATGAGTTTCTGCACAGTAACCCAAGTACTCTTGATGGAACACAGCAAGTAAGCAAGCACATTTTAAAGGAAAAAAAAAATCATAAATACACAAAGATAAATTCTGTGGTAAATGTATGGAAAGCATCACCAAGTTTGACAAGTTATTTGACTAGCTATATCTTTTAGAAGTGCTATCAGTCTTTAGCAGTGCTATTATAGAAAATCACACTTCTGCCCGCTATTTTCAAAAAGTAATTGCAAGGGTGTAATGTAACTTTCATTGTTATTCAAATTTTTTTTTTCTCAATTTGCATGGCTCTAGAGATCTCAACGAATAGAGTGACAGGTTCAGGAGCTCTCTAAAGCTGTGACTTGTATAGCTCTGGACCTCTGTGAGAATTATGATTCTGTCTGAGGGCTCAAAGCTTAGCAGAAAAGTGCACTTTTTTGCACATTTCAGGTATCACCAGAGATTTTTATGAATGGGAAAGGGTCAAGAAGTAGCAGAAATACCTGCCAGAAGCAGCAAGCTAAAAATAAGAAAAAACCCACAACTTCACAAAAAATGAGAAAATTGGTGAAGTAAAATAAAATCTGAGGATGAATTTATGGTACTTAGTACAAAAGTGGGTTCCAAACATCAGACCTTCTTTTTTTTTTTTTTTTTTTTTTTTTAGCTCTTGCCAGCCTAATGTTCTCTACTCAAAAGCAGGAAGAGGTATATATGATATGTGAAGACAGCATGGAAAAACAGACTTTTCTCAAGGTGAGCAATTAATGTGCATTTCTAAGAGTAGCAAAAATAAAGAAGTAGATATTTTTCCGTATATATTTAAACTATGCAAACACTGATTAAACAGGGGGAAAAAGTTGGGTCAAGGGTAATTCAGTAGAATGCACAATGCAAAAGGTATTCCTAAGGGAAGGTTGGGAGGGGAGAGATGTGATTACTTCTCCTTTTCCAGCTCAGATACAACATTTAATGGATGGCCATCTTTTAATCTTTATTCTGTAGATATAACTCACTTCTGTGCTACATCTGCTCCATTGGTCTTAAATGGCATGTCTAAGAACTGAAGGCTGTGGAGTCCTTTTGGAGATCCAGACACAAACTTGGCAGACTCCTGACCATATGTCACAAATAGACTGGAGCATAACCCAACATTTCTTGCTTACTTGGTAGAAATCCCAACAGAAAGTATTGCTACAGCTCTGACTTTCTCTCTGTACAGTTTTTATTGCCAGTATAAAAGCATTGTATTGTAATAATGGGTATTGGTATTGTATGACCTGGAGCCATGACTTGAATTTATACTATTAAAAAATATAACGACTCAGTCTTCCAATCCTCCAGTATATTTAGTTTGTTTGGGGTTTTTTTTGTTTGTTCTGGTTGTTTTTGGTTGTGGTTTGTTTTGGTTTTTTTTTAATATACTTTTTCTTCACTCCTCCTAGGTTAGGATGTGTTCCAAGATGCCTAAATGAGGTGTTATAATTAAATATTTTGTTCTCCATAGTCACTCACAGTGACACTCACTTGGTAACACAGTTTATCAAGAGTTTCACTGTCATTTTTCCATCTCCCTGAGTGAACATATTGCCTTCTACCTTCCAGCCCTGACCCCACCTCTTTACATTAATCTATCTTCAAGTTACAGTTCTAAGTACATCCTCTTGAGGCTGTCTTAATCTTGCAAAGTTTCAAATACCATAGAAAGAATTTTTAGCTGTCCTAAAATTTGATATGACCAGCAATTTGGATGCCAAAGACAGGAAGAGACCAGCTTGTAATATCATTTATGTCCTGTGAAATACAGATAAAATGCAATGGTATCACATATATAAAAAGTGCATTATCATCTTTCTGAATGCACTGGCATCCTTCTTTCTTTACAGAATGCTCCTCCCATGCATTTAAATTTGTAGGTTTGGTGTTTTTTAAAAATTATTATTCAACTTTTTAAAGCTGTTAACAGATAAGAAGATTTCAAAGTTGTTAACTAGATCATTTTTGCCCTCAAGGCATAATAATTTACTTTTGTTTTGTTTTGTTGTTGTTTAAAACATTTCTCTTCACTGTTTATTTTTATTCCTTTCCCTAGGCAGCCACACAAACAGCTGCTTCAGCACACAGCACTAGTGAATGGACAGAGAGCATTTTTAAAGAAGACAGGGATGTTCCAGAGCATATTTACAACTGATAGAAAAAATATTTTCTAATTTCAGCAAATTTTAACTAGGCAAAAGTGAAAACTTGCTTTTCTCTGCTCTATCTCACATGACAAAAATCTTTAGAAGGGAGGGCAGGAATAATACACTTTTAGTTTTAGGTGCCTGTTAATTTCTTTGATTTCTTGTACTGGCAGTGGTGACTGACTTTACTGAGTTAGAAATATTTAATAAGAGATAGGAAAATAAGAAATATGATAATATGCATCCAATACAGTACAGGGAATTTATAAAAATAAAGAATTAATATTTATATTAATATAAGAAGTAATAAAGGCCATATAGCTGTCAAGGAATGAAGTAGGAAGGTAAAGAATAAGAAATAATGTAAATACAATACTGCAATTTAACAAACTTCTGCTCTCCAAACACCATACAAGATGTACACCAAGAAGCCTAGCGGTGTTCGCTCTAATGACGGAAACATAAAACACGGGTTTTTTTCCAGGTCTTTATGTTTTTAGAATATTAACCTCTAGCGTGTTGCCTTTAAGAAGGTCAGTATCAATACAATCACACTCATTTTTTGTGCCGGATTCATTCAGTCAGAATAGTGTCAGTGATAAAAATATTATATATATTTCAGCCAATGTGAACGTCTGCCATGGGCAACTCACCTTTTAGCAATTAGCAGCTAAAGTAGAAAGTTTTAATAATATAGTTAGCAAATGATACAGAACTGCATTCCATAATCACAGTGGACAAGTACAATACAGCTAGAACAGGTGTTAGCTTAATTTTCCTCATCTGTACCCTCTAGTAAGTCTAGTTACCTTTTCATCTGATGTGGTCATTCAGGTAAATCAGTGCAGATGGTGTATCACTCTGTGTGCACTTGCCAAAGATTTTTACAACTTGAAGCCACTGTCTCCAGCCAGTATGAAAACTTAATGTAGATTACAACTAGAGTTTAAAACTATTTGTGAGCATAACCTCAACACATGAGGAAAAGAAGTGTAGCTTAATCCAGAAGTAAAGTGAAAAAAAGACAAAATACATGGAGTCTAAGGGGTGCATACCTGAATTTATATAATTTATTAATATTATTTATATTAAGGGTTTACACAGTTATGTTTTTATATTTTTTTATCCCATTCCCAGTCCATATACATTGTTTCGTAACATATCTAGAACATCAATTTGCAGTGATTTTTTTGGTCAATATTCTTAAAAAGCAATTAATATCTTCAGTACTGTTCTAGTTCTGAAAATATATTATAAAAAATACTCCATATTTACTAACACAATAAATATGATTTCTACTAAAAACAAGGTAAAAATCTTGAAAGTAGGGGAAAATACATGATGAGTGAAACAGATAAGTAGAGGATTTTTTTACTGTCATTTTATTTGGAACTTTGATCTGCTATATTTTACATTTTGTAAAATATCAGTTTTAATGAATGACTGGTTGTATGATCACTTTCCCTTTAAATTTTGTAATGACTAGGAAAGCATTTTGATTTTTGTTTTGTTCTGGTTTTTTTTACATTCCATTACTCCAACTTCTTTGAATATGAATTGATACAAATGTCTTACAAATGTGATGGGGACTAACCAATTGCCACTGAAGTAATGGAAGACTGGCTGAATCTTGTAAGAAAATTATAGTTATTTTCCTACGGAAGGTGTTGTTGAAACATGTTTTGCTGAGGTTTTTTTTTTTTTAGTTTGTTCTGTTACAGTTGTCTCCAAACCAATAATTTTTCATTAAGCTCTTTTAACTATTTTGAGATAGTTTTACTTTTTCTGCCTTGAGCTAATGATGAATCATGCTCCTATTGTGAATGTATTGTGCATTGTAGGTACCGATTTTTTGTTTGAATATGTTGATGAGAGATTTTTTCCTGACTATTCAGTAATATTTTATATATGATTTTTATTAATGATACCTATTCCTAAAGCTAAACTTATAAACGAAACAGTTAATAAAGAACACTCACCTACTGTCAGTTGTCCAGTTAACTGTCCCATGTGATTTCTTGCATTCACTGTTACATTTCTGTCAGACTGTAAGACCAGTGGGCTATCCTGGGAAACATTTATGAGACAATAAATGAGAGAACAAAAAACTGTGATAGAATTAAGTTAGAACTTAATATAAACATGCATGCTGAGAGGGGAGCTGTGTTAAATATAACAAACCTTTTAATAATTTCATAAAATATTTCACAACTCAAAATTTTATACAAAAAATACTAAGAATACTATTTTAAGCTTGAAACCCTTGTACAATCCCTCCTCTAGAAATCAGAGTTGAACTTAATTTATATAATTTGGGTTTTATTTCCTGTCAATATTACAAAGTTCCAAATTCAAAAACCCTTAATGCAAACCTGTTTCAAAAGCCTTTTCCACATATTGACAACATATACTTTTCTTACTACCAACCAATACTATACAGTATTATTCTATTAATCGGCACAATCTATAATATTTGTATTGCACTTAAAAAAACCTTTTAACACAGACATGAAGTTCTTTGAAAATAAAAAGAATTGTTACTCAAAAAAAAAGAGAGCACTGGAAGATGAGATCTTGTAAAAGACAATCTTGACCCACTGCCTGACAGGTACTATTAGGGATCAAATTGATGTAGCATGGAGACAAACACTGTGTGATGTTAAATACAGCCTTAACATTTTTGGAGTCAGTTTGCAGCATGACTACATTGCTCTCAACATCCAACTAGGTTTAAGCTTCTGAGAAAAGTATACATGTATGTGTGTAAGCTTATCCTCTATCTAAGGCCAGCACAAAGAATAGCACACAGAATTTAATTTTGCTTCTTGAAGAATGAGGAGCCAGATGCACTCCTCCGGGGGAAGCACAGATGCACAGGAAAGGGGAAGAGCTTCAACGGAGAGTCAGGAGAAATAGCCCCCCCAAAAAAAGAAAGAGCTTACCAATCATGTTCTCACTGAAGCAGGGTGAGTGCATGAGAGGAGGAAAAATTAGGATTGCAGCTGCTGCTGCAGAGAGGCACTTTTCTGTCTTGAATCACCTGATACCACACTGTTCTTTGCCTGGAGCTTGCAGTGAGATCATGGGTACATTAATGCTTCTGGCATTTTGCTAGCACTTATTATGCTTAAGTATGTTTATCCAACAGCCGTAAAACATCTGACAGAAACAGCTGGGGAAGTGTCTTAGATAGCAATGGCTAAGGGATAGGAAAATATTTGGGAAATTTATTATATACTTGTTTTATTCTTAAGATTATTCCCTGGGTATCCATTATTGGTCATCCCCCAATGGAGCATATTAGGTTAGATAGACTCCTTGAGTGTGTCACTCACTATATTGGTTCTTGCTGTTCTTGTAAGTTTTTTAGAAGAGAAGGAAAGGAGTTAAGGGGTCACAGATTAAGATTTATTTTTACCTGAATGATGCAATAGGTTTTCACTAAAATTTTCTATACTTCACAGTCCATTCCTTTGAATACAGGACTTCCCTCTGCAAGAAACACTTTTCCTAGTTGTTTTCACTATGATTAACTTTAAATGATAATTGGTTCCCTGGGAAGTCTAAAATTATTCTGAGCTAATTTCTAAGAGCTCAGGTGTGTTTAATGTCTCACTGGACCATGCTATGACCTCTCTAGCATCCTGCCAATTAGCTCTGCATCACAGAGTCTGGCAGATGAAAGTGACTGTTTGGCTTGTCCATCTTTCTAGATAAAAAGCTATAATTATCAGTGAGACACTGTGTTCAATTTGACTATTTTGAGCTAAACATGTGATGCAATCAAGAGGGCTTCTGGCAACAAAAGCAGCTGCTAAGGGTCTTTTTCTCAACACGGGGTTTTCACTTTCCTTGCAGTTCTTTGAAAATCATTAGTCCAGGCAACTGCTGCTCTGAGAAAGGCAGCTGACTTAATAGGCCTCTGCATTGCCAAAGCATATTTTAAAGGAGCCCTTTTCACTTTCACTTAGTCAGTATTTGGTGAAGAGTCTTCCCAGTTAGAATAATCTCACCCTTACTAAGGGAAGATACTGCCATGCCTATTTTTGCCAGTTCAGCTAAAGGTTTAGGAACTTATTCTTCCAAAGACTGCTCACACAATGATCCCAAGGTTTCTTTCCTTTCACCTTAGGAAAATACTTATCAGAATTCTTAGGCTAAAATCTGCGTCTCAGACTCTAATTGTAAGAAAATACCTTCGATATCAAACTTTCAAGTACAGGAAAAGGAAAACTTAGGTGAGCCAAGCCTTCTTTCTTCTTCTTTCCTTGTCATATAAAAGATAAAAAGAGGGATGAAAAGTTAGGAACTTAAATCTATACTCCTTAGTTCCTGGATGGAAAATAAAGAGCTGCAAGCCTAAATTCCAGACAAAAGAAAACACAGTGGCAAAACTGCTATCAATTTAAGCAGTCTAGCATTTCATCTATACTGTTTACCTGAAGTTTATTTTACTCAGGAAGTGCCTAAAGACAAAGGTTCATGGTATTCAAAGGTACTCTACTCAGAAGAACTAGACATTCAGAGAAGACTTAGCTGAAATCATTGAAATTATAGATCTGTAAGATGAGTGTAAAGTGCAATGAGTGTCAGTCATATGAATACAAATACATCTAAAGCATTAAAATCCTGGATAATTTTCTCTCTGGATTACCAGATCTGTTACTCTTTTGATATGAACTTCAGCTTGCAATTTAGTAGCCTTGATAATTCACACAATAATTAACATTCAGATGTCAGAAGGGATATAGAAGTATGTGTAAATTTACATACATACAGATGTAAATGTGGCCTTCAGAAAAGAGGTAGTAAAAGATTTGTGATGCCATTTCAAAAAATATACTATAGATAAGAAAAAGCAACATAGTAAGAACATTCTTACTGTTACATAGAGTTTTTAATAATATCAATATACTAATAACTAAAATATTGTAGAGGGATGTCCTCAGGGCCATGAGGGTTCTACCAGCTCTTATTGGCCCTGTTCAACCTCCCTGGGGGGTCCCATTTCAGTCCAGCCCCATCTGAACCCCTTCTGGCTGGGTTGCCCTACTTGGTTCCAAACACCTCTTAGGGAGCATTCAGCCCTCATCACTCCGGGACAGATAAGAGGACTTCAAGAACGAGCTGATGTTCATGATACTGTATGAAATGATTCCTGTTATAAGCCCTGAAATGTTACATCTTCAAGATTTTCAGCAGTGTATTAAAATTAAACCAGATGAACATGATGTTACCATAGTTACTTCTTATCTGAAACAGGTTTGGAGCTGAGAGTCATAAAAGGAAAAAAACCTAGTTAATTTAAGGGATATTTTCAGAAAGCTTTCTCAAATCTGAATCCAGTTATAAATACAATTAAAATTTTGAGAGGAAAAAAAGTTTGGGGTTTGCTTGTTTGTTTGTGGCGGTTTTTTGTTTGTTTTGGTTTTGGTTTTTGTTTTGAGTAAGGATCACAGTACTAGTAAATATCGACTTTTTTTTTTTTTTAAAGTACATAAGCAGATTACTGTAAGTATATGAAAACTGATAGACTGATTTATAAAAATATTTTACTAAAATAATTCTTCATGAGCAATCATAGCAAAATTCATTTTTTACAGATATTTCAAGTATTTTGAACATATTTTGGGCAAATTTCATATGTTTTGTACAGCATTGAAATAGGCAATCCTAGCTAATTCAGTTTTGAAGAGTGTTTCCAAAATGAACACTTTAAATTAGAAACAGTTTAAACGGAGAAATTTTAATTCCAGTAAGTTTAATAAAACTTTAGTTTAAGTAAGATGGTACAGTGTATAATTAAATATAATCCCAGATTTATGCTTAGAACACAGTTAACTGTGATATCACCACTAGCTTTGACACTCAGGAACAGTCGCAACATGTATACCATTGCTTATAGTGCAAGCAGTAGCTCTTTTATGACTTGATTTCTTTGCTTGGGCAAGTGCACCACTTCAGGTTTCTGGACCCCTACACAGTGCCATATAGATATAAAAAGTAATGGAATAAGTAGCTAGGATTCCAGACCTGCCACTCAGTCTGTTGGCAGTTTGTTAGAAGATGTAAGGCTATACAGACTTAAATAACAGAGCAGTATCACCAGCATGGGTAGCTAAAATAGTTATGGCAGAAGCTTTCCTTATAGGACTCTTAACAAACCTACCCCAATACACTAGTGACTCAAAATGACCATTGCATTTCCAAGGTACCTTTACAGAAAAAGAAAAAAAAAAATCAGTATTAGACTTTGGTTTGTTGAGAAACTCAGCATGGCACCATACCCAACCATACGGGTAGTTGTGGATCCCAAGATTTTAACCAAGACAGGGAGTGTGTTTCCCCACAGCAGCAGAGCACCCCAATTTGTCTGCTGCTTTAGGGACCCGGACTGTGGGAGCCAGTGAAGAAGCTGATCAGCTGTGTCTGTTCAATGACCCCAAGTGAAGAAAAAAAGGGGTATGAGTTATTTGACCACACCATAGGAACAAAACGAGAACTGAAAGAAATAGGAAGTACTTAGTAGGCTGGTCAGTCCAGCAGCCCAAGGGAGTCAAAGATCAGATGACTTAATAAATACATGGACAACTGCAGCTCGGGCAAATAAGGGATAACAAATGTGAGTGTCTTGGATGAATTTAGTGCAAAAAGTTTAGAGAAGAATATGAAAGACACAGTGTAAGTCAAGAAGGATAGAAAGCAGAGCAAAAAAGGTGTGAGAGGATGGAGAGAGCATTCCTCAGCTGTTTACCCATTGTCCAGAACTAGAACATCAGCACGTTTCTTAGCAACATTTCTTTCAAATGAGGAGGCAATAATAGAGGTGGAAGAGAATGCTCCAGGGACTAAAAGACCATTTTTATGGCTTGGAGTCTCCGGGACAAACTTTCTGTCATTAACATTATTCTTAGCAGTAACCAAACATGAAGAAATTTGCATTAGGAAACATTTTAAAGAAACGGACATACAAATGGAAGCAATTGCTGAGTTCTTGAGTACTTAAAAAGACTGAAGTCTCCATTAAAACTGCTGGAAGTTTGTACTAGTTTGGGACTGTCAAAATA